TACTGAGATGTCAGAACATGCAACAGAATCCTCTCTGGTAGCTTGAATTGAGCAAAAGTAGTTCAAAATAAGACCTGATGCTTGCGGAGCGGTGGCTCTAAAATTCTTTCACACCAGCGCTCTGAGGAGCACACTCCACTCCCCTCAGTCATCAAGCAGACCAAAGCAGGGGTCTTCAGGAGGTGGCACCCTGGTATCTAGGCTTTGCAAGTCACCTCCAGGCCTTCTCATGTTGCCCTCCCTGAAAGCTGATGCTGTGTTTCTGGTATTAGAGGGGCAAGGAAGTCTGCTCCTTCTGGGGAGGTGTAGAAATGGAGTGGATATTTTGGAACAATAATCCAATATCCCCACTCTGGATGTACTAGTTTTCTATTTCTGCATAGCAAATTACCACAAACTTAGTGGCAAAACAACATCCATTTATTATCTGACAGCTCTCATGGGCCAGGAGTCTGGTCACAGCTTGGGTGAATCCTCTGGTCAGGGTCTCAGAAGGCTGCAATCAAAGCATTGCCGGAGCTGCATCATCTCAAGGCATGACTGGGGGAAGATCAATGAAGTGATAGTCTACCATATTCATACTCAAGGGGAAGGCATTGCACAAGGCCATGGGTCATTGGGGGTTATCTTAGAGTTCCACCTATCACTTGAGTTTGGTGATTTTATTTTCTTCATTTGTGTAGAGGAATTTGATCTGTTCTCTATTACACTTATTAATGATATTTAGAATTGTAAATTGTCTTCAATAAGCAAATCATACATGTTTGTTGGAAGTAAAATTATTTGTGTCTGTTCAAGGAATAATATCTTCATGATGAAGATAGGAAAATTCAAAATGAGTTCTTATTGTAGCCTTGGAGAAAAGCAACACCAACTAACTTCTTTTATGTTTAGAAATGCCTGCTATTTGGAGATTTGTTGATTTCCAGTAAAATCCTTGTTTTAAGGGACTTCATTACCGTAGAGTTTTGATAGTTTTATAAATTTTAGCTTAGAAGAGATGAAGGAGTTCTATCTGTTGTTCAGTTCTTATTAAAGACATTTTGAGAGGTCTGGTGGTAGTTTGGGATTTTAAGGGGAGCCCTTGTACTCTTGAATTCATAAGCCTTTCATGATTGCTGAGGCATTGGAGCATGTCTCAGAGAATAGGTAAAATTTTCAGTGGTAGAAATGGAAAGTAGAAGGCAATGTATAAACAAACTTTTTAGGATGTTGATCATTCCTATCCCATACGTAGGCCTGATCTGGGTGAGGCTGGTGTTGGTGTGTGGGAAAACAGAGGACACTTTTTGGAAGTCATGTGTCAGAGAGATGCCAGGGTCAGACCCTGTTATGGATTGAATTGTATCCCCCAAAAATGTACGTCAACTTGGCTAGGCCATAATTCGCAGTATTGTATCATTGTCCTACATTTTGTGATCTGATGTAATTTTCCTATGTGTTGTAAATCCTAACCTCTACGATGTTAATGAGGCAGGATTATAGGCAGTTATGTTAATGAGGCAGGACTCAATTTACAGGATTAGATTGTATCTTGAGTCAATCTCTTCTGAGATATAAAAGAAAGAATAGAGCAGAGAGGAGAGGGACCTCATTACCACCAAGCAAGAAGAGCCAGTAGCGAAGCATGTCCTTTGGACCTGGGATCCCTGCACTGAGAAGCTCCTAGACCAGGGAAAATTGATGACAAGACCTTCCCTCAGAGCTGACAGAGAGAGAAAGCCTTCCCCTGGAGCTGACTGCCTGAATTTGTACTTCTAGCCTCCTAGACTGTGAGAGAATAAATTTCTGTTTGTTAAAGCCACCTGCTTGTGGTATTTATGTTATAGCAGCGCTAGATAACTAAGACAGAGCCTAAGGGAAGAGAAAGAAGTAGGGGCTGAGCCATGGATCTAGAAGGACTGGGGTGATAGAAAAAATTCTGGAAAAGGTGAGACATTGGGAGGCTAAGTGTGGAAGGACAGCCTGTAGGGATCTTGGAGTTGGCATGGGCACATGCAATGACTGTTGTGTAGTTCTTCTCCTCACCAGGGTTACTCAAGGTGCCCAGAGTGGCCTGAACAGGAGTGGAGGGTCATTTAGGGAAGTACTGGTGGAGAATCAGGACCTAATTCTTGTGGGTTGGGAGCATTGGACCAGACAGATGAGATTCACCTGGCACAGGTGTGCAGGATGGGTTTAACAGAGAGGGCAGAGGTAAAGGACAGAAGTGAGATATGGGTGCCGTCCAGGCAGATAAGACAAGAGAGGGGTGGCCAAGGAGATGGACAGGAACAAGCAGATGGACAGACATCGAGGGGAAGAACTGATCCAACTTCGCAACTGACTGTTGCACTGAACACAGGTGCGATGAGCTGAGAAGGTGGTGGGATTATGGGAAGAAATTTCAAACTCACAAAAAAGGTAGTTTGGAGTTAGAGAAATGAACTCAGCATTTGAAATGTTGAGCATGAGATGATGCTGAGAACTCTAGCAATGTATCCTTATAAGCAATGACAATTTAATCTGATTCTAAGATAGCTTGGGGGAAATTGGTTTATGGATTATGAAGAATCCAACAGCAGAGAGGCTGTTTTGAGAGTTCAAATGCTGAGTATAGAAGGTAAGAGAGAGGTTTAGGAGGAATTGTGAAGGAAGAACTTGTGAGACTTGGCCACAGAGAGACATGAGTAACCAATAGTCAAGGATTTCACTCACGGTTGGAGCCTGGAATACAGCGAGGAGAGAAGCTGGTGGCAGGATCACGAAGAGCAGATGTTGGGTAGATGGAAACACATTTGTGAAAAATATTTGTCAAAATTGACTCTGTTTGGAGGATTTGTGTGTGTTGAAGACTAGAATATTTATGTGCCATACTGGGGAGCAGAGTCCTGTGGTTTGTGGGAAGGTTCATAAATCCTTCATATAAACTCCTGGTCCAGAGTGTTTGAACCTGTCCCTGAGACTGGCATGGTGCAGGGTGTGGTGGAGGCTGTTTGGTTACAAGCCTTGGTTCTGCCCACTGAAGAAGTGGTTAGGGGTGAACCAAAGAGACTTTATGGCTCTGTTGAGTAGTGTGCTCTCCTCAGGTTCTGAGATCAGGTCCTTTTGGATTCACAGAGGAAATCTAGCCAAGTCCTTCCATCCAGGTCCCTAGTGGCCCACAGTAGAAAGTCTGGGGCTATTTATCATTACAAGAAACTTCATATGAAAAACAGATCCCTAGTGGCCCACAGTAGAAAATCTGGGGCTATTTATCATCACAAGAAACCTCATATGAGAACACCAGGACCTTCCTTATAACGGAGCCTCCTCAATATTGCCCTGTTGAAAGGGAAGCCACAGCCACCTCCACTTCACCATGTCTGATTAGATATTGGGGGTGAAGCAGAGGGGGATCATCTCCAAGGTTTTGGCTTGAGTGACCAGGGGGTGCTATTTTGGAAGATAGAGATTACAAGAGGAGGACTAGGCTTGGGACATGCTGAGTTGGAGAAGACACCAGAGCAGTTCCTGATAGACACCGGAGTGGCTGCGCTGAGACTCACATGTGGCAACAGCCAGCATGTGGGTGTTAGAGGAGCCTCAGTCATAGCTGGATCTGCAATGAAGCCATGGAGTAGAGAGAGACAAAAGGCCAAGGAGGGGATCTTGGGAAACTGGAAGAGGAGGGGGAGAGGAAGGAGGACGCGGAGGGAGCCTGAGAATAGGAGAAGCCAGAAAAGTAAGAAGAATATCGGGGAGAGCTACGTACATAAGTCTAGAGAAAAGTTTCTTAAGCTGAAGGACTGGTCAATCTCCAGCTGGCAGGGTGATGGCTGGACCTGTAACCTCTCAGTGACCTTTGTAAGAAGAGTTTCTGAGGACCAGCGGGGAAAGAGCCAGGTTGTAGTGGGTGGGGGAGTGAGTGTGTGTCCCCATGGTTCCATTGGCCCTCTTGAACCTATGGAGACTGGCAGCACAGGGCCATAGGTCTGGGGAGCAGCCAGTCAGATCCTGTGACCAGGAGTGTGGACTTCTGAGGCAGCCTGGAAGAAAGATAGGCCAGTAACTAACAAAGGGCCGAAGGTGGTTTTTCTAAGATACAGAAGACTTTTGGGTATTCCTGTGGTAAGGACAGTAGGTAGGAGCCAGGAGAGAGGGGACAACTGCTAGAGAAGGAGCTAGGCCAGGTGGGACATGGTAGCCTGGGAAGTGAGTCAGTCAGCAGAAAGTTAGGGAGCCTCATCCGATGATGTGTATTGACTCAGCAAGGTTCAAGCTCTGCTGTGTGGTGGGGAACACTTTCCCAGGGCCGGGAGGGAAGAGAAAGGTGTGTGGTGGGAGGATGTGCTGTAGACGGGAGAGAGCCAGCCAAGCATGGATCCTGCAGGTCAGGACAAGTCCTGCAGGTCGGCAGCACTCAGAGCAGAGGGAGCAGGAGGCTGGGTTACAGGTGAGGGGGAGAGCTTTGCCCTTCTGTAAAATGGTGCTTTAAGCCCTCGCCGGAATATGGTGCAAATGTTTAATGAGCTCGGCTGCTAATGGAAAGGTTGGAGGTTCGAGTCTACCCAGAGGCACCTTTAAAGAAAGGCTTATGATCTACTTTGGAAAAATCAGCCGTTGAAAACCCTGTGGAGCACAGTTCTACTCTGACGAAAGGGGTTGCCAAGAGTTGGAGTGGGCTCCATAGCAACTGGCTTGGGTTTTTCTTTTTTTTTTTTTTTTTTTGTGATTTTTAAGTAGCATAGCCAAATAACTTATAGGACCAAAATGGAGTATGTGGCCTGGCAGAGGCCTTTCAGAAAGTGCACAGACTCTTTGGACGAGTACAATGCAGGGTGTAAATAAAGGGCCGAGTGTGCCTTTCAGTGTGGCTGCAGGCCAGGAGCTTCGGAGTGGAAAACAAGGCCGTTGTAACTGTGCTCATAATTTCTGCTGCATTCTACAGCCCTTCCTCAGGTTGAAAAGGTGAATTTTGTTTCAGTTGTTTATTGAAAGCTCCTGACACATCTTACCTCCTGAACTGTTTGTCTTTGCAGGTGCTGCTGTCTGGACTCATTGGTGTGGTCTCCTGGAAGAGGCCTCTCTCGTTGGTGGTAAGTTGCTCTGCGTCTCCAGCATGGCGCGCGCAGCGAGGCTCCCTGCAGAGGCCTGAGTCCCTTAAAGGCGAAGGGAAGGAGAATCCTGGCTTCTTCGCAGAATGTGGCATACAGACCTTGAGAAAAACGAATCCAGTGTTGATGAAAGAACCACTGTGTGTACTCTAGATCCCACTTCTGAGAGTATGCCTTGGATATTTTTCTAAGCTGTCCGGGTGTTGTCCTCTGTTTTGTTTTAGGTGCCCTCCTATAAGACATACCCTGAACAAATACATTTTAAAAGGTAGATCCAAGCCTTGTCTCTAGGCGTTAAAACCTATGCGCATATGCTACAACATGGATGAACCTTGAAAACATTACGGCAAAGTGTGGCAAAGGACAAATACTGTATGATCTCACTTACATAAAATAAGCAAATATAGAGAGACTGAAAATGATTAGTGGTTACCAGGGGTAGGAGGGAGGGGCGAAGGGGGAGTTTTTGCTTAGGGGGCACTGAATTAATGTTAACGGTGGTGGGATAATTTGGAAAAGGATAGCAAAATGGTTGTACAACTTGAAGAACGTAATCAATGTCACTGAATTGTACATGTAGAAAATGTTGAATTGATGTATGTTTTGGTGTATATATTTTCACCACAGTAAAAAATAAAATAATAAAATGAAACAAAAACATGCATACATGTCTTCACACAAGCAGGACATATTTTATCAGAGTTCAGGAAATGGTATTTGTGTATGTGTATATTGGAGACTGCACGATTCTGGGAAGGTGAAATGGGGTATTTGTTTGAATTGGAGAAGGAGGGAAGAGGCAAACACTTAGATGGTTTCTCACATTTCTCTGCCGCCACTCTGAGGAGGAGCAGTCGGCATGGGAGATGTAAAGAGGAAGGACTGTTTTTCCATCAGGAAAGCACTGGGCAGCTTGTGTCTACGGATTTTTATGTGTGTTCTTCTCGGTGTGTGCGTTAATACATTTATGTGCCCGTGTCACGACTAGAGGAGGGGGCCCTCCGGGCTTCGAGGGATAATGAAAAAGACAGCGTGGCTTCTTCTTTCGTTTGTATTAATGAATTATTTAAAATCTCTTCTTTAAGTGATTAGACTTGGAGATAATGACGTGTACTAAATATTAATGGAAATAGAGAAAAACAAATCTGTCTGTGGTAAACGGCTCCTCCATCACGAGAGTAACCATGGCATCCTGAGGAGGCATGGCGGGAGGCGACGCGGTGCGTTCAGTGTGCCTCCTCTCTACTGTTTCTCAGCCCATACGAGACACTTTTTAAAACAAAATAAAATTTTATAGACTTTTTCAAATACGCACAAAAGAAGAGAGGATAGTATAGTGAACCCCTGTGTATCCCTCATCCAGCTTCAACTAGTATCACCCTATGGCCAATTTTGTTTCATCTGTACCCTACCTACTTCCCCCCCACCCCTTGCTGGGTTATTTTACAGCAAATGCCCACTAGTGTATCAGGTTGTTGTCGTTAGCTGCCGTCAAGTAGGCCTCCAACTCCATGTACGATGGGACGAAACACTGCCTGGTCCTGTACCACCCCGTGATTGTTTGCAGATCAGACTGTTGTGACCCATAGGATTTTCACTGGCTAATTTTTGGAAGTAGATCACCAGGCGTTTCTTCCTAATCCATCTTAATCTGGAAGCTCTGCTGAAACCTGTTCAGCATCATAGCAACATGCAAGCCTCCTCTGACAGATGGGTAGTGGCTGTGCATGAGGTACGTTGGCTAAGAATCGAGCCCAAGTCTCCTGTGTGGAAGGCGAGGATTCTGCCACTGAACCAAGTGCTCACTTTTTTTGCAGAATGACATGCTGGTGATCGTGCAGATTCTGGGGTCATTTGGCTGAGGTGAGGAATGGCTTTTGTTCTCTTGTGAGGGACATGGACATAATCTGTTCCATTCCTCGTCACCAGCCCCTACGGTGTAGTTGGTACGCTCCGTTCCCTCTCACCAGCCCCTACAGTGTAGTTGGTACGCTCCATTCCTCCTCACCAGCCCCTACGGTGTAGTTGGTACGCTCCATTCCTCCTCACCAGCCCCTACGGTGTAGTTGGTACGCTCCATTCCGCCTCACCAGCCCCTGCGGTGTAGTTGGTACGCTCCATTCCGCCTCACCAGCCCCTACGGTGTAGTTGGTACGCTCCATTCCGCCTCACCAGCCCCTACAGTGTAGTTGGTACGCTCCATTCCGCCTCACCAGCCCCTGCGGGGTAGTTGGTACGCTCTAACACGGCCACCTGACAGTGAAAAAGGCGTCCTCCTTTGAGCGGGTGTGTACTAAAAGACAACAGAAGGATGGCACCCAGCCACCACTTCAGCCTACCTCAGCCCTAGTTCCAGGACAGATTCTCCCAGGTCTGATCATTGTACCACACAGGATGGATGCGACTTGTATCTAACTGATTAGAAATTAGGACCCCTATGGACGTGGCTCCCATGTGCCCTGGGAATGCCAGGGGAGTTAGGTGGGGCCTTAGGGTCTCATCCTAAAAGGAAGGACAAAACATCAACCAAAGCAGCTGGAATAGACCATCCTGGTGCTCACTGACCAGCTCCTGTCCACCAGTGTAGAACCAGGTGCTCTAGTGAGGCAGTCAGGACTCCCCTCTCATTCCTGTTTCCTCCTAAGCATCAGGCAGAGGAGAAGGGATTCATCTAACCTGAGTGACTGTTTTATCTTACTTAGGAAGGTACATGTGTTAGTCACACTAGCTGTTATAACAAATCCCCAAATTTTAGTGGCATAGCACAGTGGAAATTTGCTTCTTGCTCCTGTCCAAGGCAGGTATGCAAGTCAGTGGCTGTCTTCCCCACTCAGTGATTCAGAGACCCTGGTTCCTTCCTTCTTGTGGCCCTTCTAGTCCCTAGGCCTGTGGAGTCCTCTGCACCTCAGAGAAGGGGCAAGAGAATAGACAAGGAACATCTTCATTGTAATGTTCTTGGCGTGAAAATGACCCTTATTGCCCACAGTCAAACCACTGGAGAGATCTCATCCTGTGACCCCGTCAAGTTGCAAAGAAGGCTGACAAATGTAGTTCCTCTCTATACTGACATTTCTTGGAGGCAGCTCTGTCTTGTAGCAGGGTAGACATGAATTTTTTTAAAATTTATTTTGTTGTTGTGGTTGAGAATATACACAGCAAAACATACACCAATTCAACCCTTCCTACACGTACAGTTCAGCGTCATTGATGATATCCTTCGAGTTGCACAACCATTCCCACCGTCCTTTTCTCAGTTCTTCCCCCATTAACATAAATTCACTGCCCCCTAAGGTTCCTATCTAATCTTTTGAGTTGCTGTTGTCACTTTGATCCTGTATAGATAGTTCTTAACAGAGCATAAAGCTCAAGGCAGACCTTTCTCACTAGTTAAGCTAAACTATCGTTAGGTGTTAAGAAGGCTTAAGGGAATATTTTTGTTTAACATTTAAAGGTTACCTCAGAGCAATAGTTTCAGGGGTTCACCCATCCTCCATGGCTCCAGAAAGCCTGGAATCCATGATAATTTGAAATTCTCTTCTGCATTTTCCCCATTTTGATCAGGATTCTGTAGAATCTTTGATCAGAATGTTTAGTAATGGTAGCTGGGCACCATCTGTTTCTTCTGGTCTCATGGCAAAGAAGGCAGTTGTTCATGGAGGCAATTAACCACACATTCCATATCCTCCTCCTATTCCTGACTCTTCATTCTTCCTCTGTTGCTGCACGTGAATAGAGACCAGTTATCATGCCTTGAATGGCTGCTTGCAAGTTTTCAGGCCCCGGGCACTAACCAAGGAACTAGGAGGTAGAACAGAGGCACTAAACATGTTATAAGGCCAATTAGCTGGGAGGTCCTGTGAAACCATGACCCTAAAACTCCAAACTAAAGAACCAAATCCCATGCGGTGTTTGGTTGTACATAAGCAGTCTCAGCAGCTGCTTTTTTTTTTTTTTTTTTTTACAGGTGTACAACTTACTGACATCAATTACAATAATTGGCTTTGCAACCCTACCCTTAATCAGTGCAATTTTTCCATCACTGTTAACCCCCCTTCCCTCCCTCCTGCCCCTGGTAACCACTAATAAACTTTGATCTGCATACATTTACCTTTTCTTGTATTTTTATATAAGTGAGATTGTAGAATATTTGTCCTTTTGTGATTGACTTATTTCACTCAGCATGTGTTCAACCTCCATCCATATTGTAGTATATATCAAGACTTCGTTCCTTCTACTGGCTGAAGAGTATTCCATTGTATGTACGTACCATATTTTGTTTATCCATTCATCTGATGAGGGATATTTAGGTTGTTTCCACCTTTTGGCTACTGTGAATAATGCTGCAATGAACATTAGTGCACAAATCTTTGATTGAGTCTCTGCTTTCAAGTCTTTTGGGTATATACCTAGGAGTGGAATTGCTGGGTCATACGGTAATTCCATTTTTAGTTTTTTGAGAAACCACCACACTATTTTCTGCAATGACTGTACCATTTTGCATTCCCATCAGGAATGGATAAGTGTTCCAATTTCCTGACATCTTCACCAACATTTATTATATATGTATATTTTGTCTTAGCCATCCTAGTGGGAGTGAAATGGTACCTCACTGTGGTTTTGATTTGCATTTCTCTGATGGCTAATGATGCTGAGCGTCTCTTCATGTGTTTAGTGACTATTTTAGTGTCCTCTTTGGTGAAATGTCTATTAAAGTCCTTTGCCCATTTTATGATTGTATTATATGTACTTTTGTAGTTGCATTGTTGTGATGGTTAAGATTGTGTGTCAACTTGGCTAGGCCATGTTTCTCAGTGGTTTGGCAGCTGTATAATGTTGTGATCACTTCCCTGTTGAGATTTGATATGCGATTACCCTCATAATGGGATCTGCTGTGAGTAGCCAGTCAGTTGAAAGGGAGTTTCCTTGGGTGTGTGGCCTGCATAGAGTATAAGCGGGTATTTTGGCAAGGCTTGTGGGCTTTT